ACCCTTTCAAATAGAGGAGACAGACTAATTTTAGTTTTATTTATTGTCAGTCCTGATATTATTAGTTGTTGTCTTCTTGGGGTTTAAAAAAACAAACGCCAATTGTTGTTTTATTTACATTCTAAGCTGCCTTGAGTTCCACAAAGGGAGATGGGTGGCCAGTAAGTGTTTTAAATAAATAATTTATTTGGTGTAGTGGTTAAGTGCGTGGACTCTAATCTGGGAGAACCGGGTTTGATTCCCCACTCCTCCACTTGCACCTGGCTGGATGACCTTGGGCAAGCCATAACTCTGGCACAGCTGTTCTTGAAAAAGAGCAGTTTCTGTCTAGAGCTCTCTCAGCCCCACCTGCCTCACAGGGTGTCTGTTGTGGGGAGGGGAAGGGAAAGGAGTTTGTAAGCCACTCTGAGACACCTTTGGGTAGTGAAGGGTGGGGTATAAATCCAATCTCTTCTTCTTCTAAATTCCCACCATTACTTTTGCCTCCCACTTCCTTCCTTACCGGGCAGTGGAAGGCCGGTGCCCGCCGTAAACCAAGAGGGTGCGGGAAGCGGGGTGGAACACCATGGAGTGGCCAGCGGCCGCGGGTGCCTTGCCCCCCGAGGGCATCACCAGTTCCCAGACCCACGTCCGGAGATGGAAGCGGTACATCTGGGAGGAGAAGACGTCTACCGAGGTGCGCCCTGTCAAAGGAGGAAGAGAATGGCGAGATTGTGGTGAGATTCTTCAGGAGACAAGTAAGAGACCAGGTATTGAATGCAACGAATGGAGCCACCCTGAAAATCAAAGACAAAGAAATAAGAGTTCTGAAGGATATTCCATTCGAAGTAAGGAAGAAGAGAAAGAAATACAGAGACTTGGCGCGGTTCTTACAGAAAAACGATGTCCCCTACAGATGGAGTGTTCCTGAAGGCATGCTCTTCACATTTAAAGACAAGAAAGACAAAAAACTGACTCTGTTGTAAAGGCACGCGGATTTCTACATCAACATGCCAGTCCAGCAGGTGAAGAGGATAAAGATGAAGATGGCAGCAGCAAGGGAAGTGAAGAAGGAGGAGGACTGGAGACTTCTGATGAGGACTTAGTTTCTGAACTGGGAGCGGCTGCCCCTAAACTAAGCTACTGACTGAGAAACAAAAAAGGACAAAAAATGAGTTATTATGATTGTTCTCTAGAGTCTGTTTTAAATGAATTTAAATCATTTCTCTATAGAGTTCTTTATATAGTCAGATATGTTGGAGATTCTAGTACAAGCAATAAGAATTGTGTACTCACTTAACATAGCAAAGTATAAGCTTTTTTACTTAGAAGCTAATTTTGTAAGCATTGTGACTGACCACCATCTCTTGGGTTTGTAGCGGTTTTTCTTTACTTTCACCTGTAGTTCGTAGTTACCTTTCCTTGTTTCTTTGTAGTTTATAGAAAATGCAATTTAGAAAATCCCCTACTGGGGGACAAAAAAAAAAGAGAGGAAGAGATGAGGCTCAGCAGTTCAGGATATTTCCGCAGCCGTTTCATAAGAACAGCAGAAGAGCCCTGCTGAGTCAGACCAGTGAAGGTCCCTCTAGTCCAGCATCCTGTCTCACACAGTGGCCAACCAGTTCCTCTGGAGGGCCAACAACAGGGCAGAGGGGCTGAGGCCTTCCTCGATGTTGCCTGCTGGCTTTGAGATTCAGAGATTAGTGCCTCTGAATGTGGAGGTTCCCCTTAGCCACCATGGCTGGTATCCATCGATAGACTTATCCTCCATGAATCTATCTAATCCCCTTTTAAAGCTGTTTATTCCTGTGGCCATCACTACATCCTCTGATGGCGAATTTCACATTTTAATCGCTTGCTGTTTCAAGTGCTGCAGGTGAGGTGCAGCATGAAGTGGTGGCCAAGAACAGCAGACTCTAATCTGGAGACTCCCCACTCCTTCACATGAAGCCTGCTGGGTGACCTTGGGCCAATCACAGTTCTCTCAGCACTCTCTCGGCCCCACCTACCTCACAAAGAGCCTGTTGTGGGGAGAGGAAGGGTGGGCAATTGTAAGTCGCTTTGAGACTCCTCAAGGTAGAGGAAAGAGGGGTATAAAAACCTTCTTTTCTTCAGTTCCCAGGACATTTAAAAATGTTTTTACTGAATGTGACTACTGAGGTGGCAATCTGAAGGGGGCCATGTAGGTAAAAATGTGAAGGCCCAGAAAAAAACCAGAAAAATTTGGGGGGGGGACGGTCCCCCCCCCCGTTTTTTCCTGAAGCCTTGTTTTTTTCTGAAAAATTGGAAAAATTGAAAAAAGAAAATAAAAGAAATTGATTATGGAACATTTTATTTTAACATGATGAATAAAATATTTTAAGACAAGGTGTTCAAATATTTTCCAAATCATTTATAAAAAAAATATGTATGGTATCAGATTGATCTAATTTCTGTGCACTGAGGACAAGCAAGTCCTAGGTTACAAACTGAACTCTCCAATGCAAGAACAAGATGCATTTCTTCCTTTAGGAGTTGCTATTGTCACAAGAAAAGAAAAAGGTTTCAGTTTTGTTTTTGCATGTGGGTGGGTATTCTGTTTGTAATAACTGTTTGGATACACTATATTTTTAATATGCTAGTTGTGATAATTTCATACCAAGTAAAAATATCCATAGTCATATTTTATGTTCCTAAAGTAACACAATGACTTTCAATCTGGAAAAGAAAAAAGAAGTGAAGGGAGAGTGTTGTTCTTCTGTCCCGAAGCCCCACTTTCTCCACCCAAAATCACTTTCTCGAAGTTGCAGGCAATAAACGTGCCTTGACATGAGGTGATTTTTCGTGAGGGAAAAAGTCTAAGGAAAAGGCTTTTACCAAAATCCACCCTGCCCTCTACCAACTTACATTTTATAAACACAAAAAAAAATGTCCTTAATCATGGAACGGCACATAACTCGGCGTTCCAGTCACTGAAAAGTTATTTCTTTCCTATAATTTGGTATGCGAAACTGACTAAGTGGAGCTGAATTTGGGATCCAGTGGGACGCCGAATCTAAAAATAAAAGGCACAATGGCTCACGAGGAAACCAAGCTTCTGTCCTGCCCAGTCCTCACCCATAGCTGCACTTCTCCATCCAGAAGACGCTTGCTTTCGGCCCCGATCCCCAATTGACCAGCCCTGCCCCCAACTGCGCTCCCAGCTCCGAGCAAAGCAGACTGAATTCACCTCAGAACAAGCTGATCCGCTTGGGCCGTCTGAGCAGGGAACTTGGAGTCTTCTGATGCCCACTCTCTGGCAACTTTCTGACAAATGACCTAAACTTTTTGGGCCTCAATAATCTCCGTGCCCTTGCAAAACTCAGGATCGGAAGTGCGGGGCTTCTAAGTGGGGCTGAGGAAAACTGGGGGGGGAGGCCTCACTCCCCTCCCCAAACCCTGCTCTCAACAAGCTTTGCCCCCAAATCTCCAGGAATTTCCCAGCCTGCAGTTGGCAATCCCACTTGAGGATCACCCGGCACCTCCTTTACTGTGGCAGGGTAGGAGCTTTCGTGAATCACTGCCCACTTCTTGTTCTGAAGAAGTGAGCAGTGACTCCTGAAAACTCATCCCCCGCCACCAACGGTGTTAGTCTTTAAGTGTAAGCCAGTTTGGTGTGGTGGTTAAGTACGCGGACTCTAATCTGGGAGAACCGGGCTTGATTCCCCACTCCTCCACTTGCACCTGGCTGGATGACCTTGGGCAAGCCGTAGTTCTGATAAGAGCTGTCCTTGAAAAAGAGCCGTTTCTGTCAAGAGCTCTCTCAGCCTCACCTACCTCACAGGGTGTCTGTTGTGGGGAGGGGAAGGGAAAGGAGTTTGTAAGCCGCTCTGAGACACCTTTGGGTAGTGAAGGGCAGGGTATAAATCCCATCTCTTCTTCTTCTAAGGCAGCGGTTCTCAACCTGTGGGTCGCGACCCCTTTGGGGGTCGAACGACCCTTTCACAGGGGTTGCCTAAGACCATCGGAAAACGATGGTCTTAGGATAGGGCTCCCAAGTCTCGCCAAATCGCGGCGAGGGATCGCATCCTGCATATCAGATATTTACACTACGATTCATAACAGCAGCAAAATTACAGTTATGAAGTAGCAACAAAAATAATTTTATGGTCGGGGGTCACCACAACATGAGGAACTGTATTAAAGGGTCGCGACATTAGAAGGTTGAGGACCACTGTTCTAAGGTGTTACTGGACTCTTGCTCTTTTCTACTGCTACAGACAGACTAACATAGCTACCCATCTTGATCTCTGTTTTACAGAGATCAGGTTAGGCTTCTGAAAGTAGTTTTTACGGCACGATAACCTTATGATGGTTATTTTTATGATTTTTGGAGGTATTTGATTTTACTCTGTGTGGACTCTCAAGCTGGTCTCTGGAGAGGCCAAACATACAAATTCCACTAGAAAAAACACCGTCAAAGATTGCCAAAATACATAAACGCTATTTAACAATTAAAGGTAAAAGGTAAAGGTTCCCTTGCTCGAAAGCCAGTCGAGTCCGACTCTAGGGTTGCGGTGCTCATCTCCGTTTCCAAGCCGAAGAGCCAGCACTGTCCGAAGACGTTTTCCGTGGTCATGTGGCCGGCATGACTAAACACCAAGGTGCATGGAACGCTGTTACCTTCCCACCGAAGTGGTACCTATTTCTCTACTTGCAATTTCTTGCTTTCGAACTGCTAGGTTGGCAGGAGCTGGAACTAGAGACGGGAGCTCACTCCGTCATGCGGCACACTCAGGTCTCGAACTGCTGAACTACTGACCTTCCACAGCCTGCAGTTCAGCGTCTTAACCACTTGAGCTACGGCAGCTCCCCATTTAACAATTACAATCTCTCATATCACAATTTTAAAGTTGGGGGTGTCACAACATCAAAAGAAGTGCATACTATAACTATGAATATAACTATAAACAAGGCATAGATTACGTTTCCTCCTTCAAAGATAAATATTGGTTCATATAGTCCATTCAACTTGATAGGAGGAATCCACATTTGCAAAACATTTGCAAAAACAGCCTTGGCAAAAGCGCCCGTTCTAGATACTTAAAGGAGACGTTTCCATCAACTTCTTCAGTTTGCCGGCGGCATCGTTGGAGCACGCTTTCAACAATTTCCCTTGACAACAAGGTTCACAGCGTGAAGAGCGAATCCTGAAGGCACGCCTACTTTGCGAAGAAATTAAAAGCCGCTGCTCCGCATTCCTCACCAAGGACCCTGCCGGCTTCACCCCGTAACTCACCTCCAAAGACGTACAGCCATTCATCCACCACGGCAGAGGCGTGGCCAGCCAGTCCAGGGGGCATGGAAGACCAGGTGGTGTTGGGGGGCAGCAGCTCCTGCCAGCGCCCTTCCCGCGGCCGGTACATCCAGACATCGTTGGCGAGGGAGCCGCTGGCCAACTCGCCCCCAAAGAGGACCAGGAAGCCCTCCCAAGCCACCGCGGTGTGGGACTGACGTGCAGACTGCCAAGAGAAAGGGCCAAAGGGAAGGACGTGAGGTGGGCCAGAATGGGAAGCTAAAAGTCTCTCCTCTTCACGGCCGCTTCAAACCGTCTGAAGATGAGAACCAGGGTCGCCAACCTCCAGGTGGGGCCTGGAGCTCTCCTGGAATTACGATTAGCAGGGCTCTTTTTGTAGAAAAAGCCCAGCAGGAACTCATTAGCATAATAGGCCACACCCAACAGCAGGAACTCAATAGCATATTGGGCCACAGCCCTGACAGCACAGCTCATTAGCACATTAGGCCGCACCCCCTTGTTACCAGAAGTGTGCTCATCCAGCCACACCCACCTTTTGCTTCTTATTCTGTTTACCTTGTTTGTTGTCAAAACCCAGGGCCTTTTTTTGTAGCAGGGACTCCTTTGCATGTTAGGCCACACACCCCTAATGTAGCGAATCCTAATGAGTTTCTGCTGTTGGGTTAGCCTATTATGCTAACGAGTTCCTGCTGGGCGTGGCCAACTTGGGAGCCAGCCGGAACTCCGTTCCTGTGCGTTCCTGCCCCAAAATAGCCCTGACGATTAGTCTCCAGGATTCTGACATCGGTTCCCCTGGAGGAAGTGACGGCTTCGGACACATCCCTGCTGAGCTCCTAAGACTCCGCCCTTCCCAGGCCCTGACCCCAACTCTCCAGGAGTTTCCCAAGACAGAGGTTGACGACCCGATTGTAAACCCAGATTTACGGTCACGTTATGAACATGCTCAGTAGGCCGCAGTGGACAGCTCAGACTCTGTGGCAAGTGCCCATGCGGTACACGCCCATGTCCTGTTCACACATCATGTTCTTTGGTGAAATGCTTCCGACATCTCATGATCAAATCCACAGGGGTCATTTCCTGCGGGAGTGCACAAAAGCGGCGCTCCAGCAGTAAAGAGCCCGGGGGCGGGCACATGCAACAAGCCCCACCCCCTGCTCCCAGCAGCCCTCAGTCAGAGCAAGAAGCAGCCAGGTAAGTTGCAGAGCTCCCCCCGGCCCCCCGGTCCAAAACAGTCCAGTGGCACTTTTAAGACCAAGGTTTATTCAGGTACAAGCTCTCCCTCCTCTGCTAGGACAGATCTGCATGTCCCCCCCCCCCCAATAGCTAGCAATCCAAAACAGTCTAGTGGCGCCTGAGTGCTGGGTGTTGCCTTCTGACACACTTCCGGTGATGTCAGGGGGGGTGGCATATGCAGGGGGCAATATGATTGAGCTTTATAAGATTGTGCATGGGAAAGAGCAGGTAGAAAAAGAGGTACTTTTCTCCCTTTCTCACAATACAAGAACTCGTGGGCACTCCATGAAATTGCTGAGCAGTCGGGTTAGAACGGATAAAAGGAAGCCCTTCTTCATCCAAAGAGTGATTAACACATGGAATTCACTGCCACAGGAAGTGGTGGCGGCTACAAGCATGGACGGCTTTAAAAGGGAATTAGATAAGCATATGGAGCAGAGGTCCATCAGTGGCTATTAGCCACAAGGTATAGATAGGGGCTCTGGGGCAAGTGATGCTCTGTCTTCTTGGTGCTTGGGGGGGTCAACAGTGGGAGGGCTTCTGGTGTCCTGGCCCCACTGGTGGACCTCCTGATGGCACTGGTATTTCTGGCCACTGTGTGACACAGAGTGTTGGGCTGGATGGGCCTTTGGCCTTTTCCAACATTGGCGTCTCTTATGTCCTTATGTTCTTTTGTTATGCTAGTGAGTTATGCTAATGAGCTCCAGCACCACTTTTTCTACTAAATGACCCATGCCAAATCCCATGGCAAACTGGCTCCCGAGGACGGCGGAAAGGGGACACTTACCGGAGAGGGACTGAGAATACGCTGATGCCAGATGTTCGTGGTGAAGTTATAGAAGACGAGGTCGCCCAGGGCTGTGTTGAGATCCAGACCTAGAGTAGAAGAAGCAAAAATGCCATTCAGGACTTCAGCCCGCCCAGACTTGCTGGGATATACCAGCTTGTCCAATGGGAGATAAAGACGGTTCTTTGAACCTGCCGCTCCTTCGAATCTGCCGCTACGCGCCCAATCCTGGCCGCCACATCCTCTTACGATGTAAAATTTCTGGAAATGTTTAAGCATGGGTGGAGGGCACCCAATTTTTTTTAACGCAAATGTCAGGGAAAACAGATATAGATGCAATATTTTCTTTCTCATCACATCTTATTTTACTGCTTCTATTGCATAAAATGCATAGTTTCAGCCAGGGCTATTTTTGGGCAGGAATGGAGTTCCGGGTGGCTCCCGAGTTGGCCACGCCCAGCAGGAACTCATTAGCATAATAGGCCACACCCAACAGCAGAAACTCATTAGGACTGGCTACATTAGGGGTGTGTGGCCTGACATGCAAAGGAGTCCCTGCTATAAAAAAGCCCTGGGTTTGGACAACAAACAAGGTAAACAGAATAAGAAGCAAAAGGCGAGTGTGTCTGGATGACCACACTTCTGCGAACATGGGGTGTGTGGCCTAATATGGTAATGAGCTGTGCTGTCAGGGGTGTGTCCTAATAAGCAAATGAATTTCTGCTGTTGGGTGTGGCCTATTATGCTAATGAGTTCCTGCTGGACTTTTTCTACAAAAAGAGCCCTGGTTTCAGCTGTGTACAAAAATGTGCTATTTAAGGAATTTAGAAGCATAAAAGTCTTAGAAATGGGCAAGCGTGTGTGAGGGAGGGAGGGAGGATGTTGACAAGCTCGAGCGCGTCCAGAAGAGGGCAACCAGGATGGTGAGAGGGTTGGAATCCAAGTCTTATGAGGAAAGGCTGAAAGAGTGGGGTATGTTTAGCCTGGGAAAGGGAAGGCTTAGAGGGGACATAACTGCAGTCTTCAAGTATTTGAAGGGCTGTCGTGTAGAAGATGGAGCAGATCTATTCTCTCTTGCTCCGGATTGCAAGACTAGATTTAATGGGTGGAAATGACAAGGGTGTCGATACTGGCTAAATATCAGGAAAAACTCCCTCATTGTAAGAGTGGTTGAACAGTGGAACAGGCTAAATATCAGGAGAAACTCCCTCATTGTAAGAGTGGTTGAACAGTGGAAAGGGAGGTGGTGGATGCTCCTTCGCTGGACGTTTTCAAGCGGAGGCTGGAAGACCATCTTTCGGGTATGTTGTAGGGCTATCGGCTGTGCTCCTGCAGAGTGCAGGTGGTTGGACTAGATGACCTGCAAGGTCCCTTCCAACTCTAACATTCTATGATTCTATGTGCAGCATACAGAAGCAATCTATGCTACCTTAAAGCACACAGAGCATACGTTTTGCCAGTGGAGACATATGTATTTAAAAAGTGGAAAATAGAAAACAACTTTTGCAATAAACAAAAGAAAGTGTGTTATTTAGACACGACCTCATATACTCACAGTAAGACGACCAGCATTATTTGGACAACCAAGTTAAACTTTATAGCACTGAAAACAATGAATTTTTAACAGTGCATTATGGCTGAGCGCATTATATTAATTGTGGACAAAATGTAAGCCACAAATATATCTCTGAAAGCATGTTGCCTATGTCTAGAGCATACACAGGAATTATCTAATACTGTTGTTTTTATGAAAGACAATCTTCATACTGCACATTTTTTGAATAACTTGCCTTAGAAGCACTTCACTTATTCTAAAGGGGGGGGAGCAGGATTTTTTTCAAGTAGAACTCAAGATTTCCAGCTTTTCAAAAAATCCATGTTTTTCAAAAATGCCAGTTTTCCCTTCCACTTAAGAACATAAGAACATAAGAGAAGCCAATGCTGGATCAGGCCAATGGCCCATCAAGTCCAACTCTGTCACACAGGGGCCAAAAAAATACCAGGTGCCATCAGGAGGTCCAGCAGTGCCCCCCCCCCAAGCACCAAGAATACAGAGCATCCCTTGCCCCAGACTGAGAGTTCCTATCTAGACCTTGTGGCTAATAGCCACTGATGCACCTCTGCTCCATACGTTTATCCAATTCCCTTTTGAAGCCATCCGTGCTTGTAGCCGCCAATGCTCCCTATAAGCTGTGGAGTCTTGTGAGCAAAAATTCTACTTTGTGAGCTACTGGGATTAAAGCGGTGAGCGAGCGATTTGGCTGCTGCATCAATTAGTTTGCTCCGGAGCCGTCCCCTCCTGAGCTAAGACAAGAATGTGTGAGCCGGAGGCTAAGAAAACTGTGAGCCAGCTCACACTAACTCAGCTTAGAGGGAACACTGGCCGCCCGCCACCTCCTGTGGCAGTGAATTCCATGTGTCAATCACTCTTATATGATATGCAGCATAATAAGAAAGAATAGCGACCAGGGCTTGGATAGCAGCCACTAGGAGCTGCAGGGAAAGGCTGGTGTGTATGAGAGGGGGAAACAGAAACCGACCCACAGAGTCCCCAGAGCTCTCATCCATCTCCTCTCCCCCTCTTCCTGAACCCCAGATGCCACTTCCAAGGGGTCCTAAACCAGGGGTCGTTTCGTAGAAAAAGAGCTAGGGGAACTCATTAGCATAACTCATTAGCATATGCCACACCCCCTGGATGCGCTCGCCCGCTTCGGGAGAGGGGATCAAAGTGTAATACAAGCCTCCTCCGAGACTTGATCACACCAATCTCAACTCTCTCTTGGGTCTTGATGCCTGCCAGTCATTCCCCCTGCCTGGGGGAAGCCGCGTTGGACCAAAATACAGTCCAAACTGCTGTAAGGAACACCCGTCCACCCTGAGCACTTACAGGGTGCGTCAAATCGCCATTTCACCCCAACCGGAAGCAGAGGGCGGGGCTTCGTCGTGTGCCCCGCCCCCCCGCCCCTCGCCTGGGGGAACGGCGATCCCCCGCAATCCCTCCGAATCGACCCCTGTCCCAAACTGCCCACCCACATAGAATTTCACAAACTAAAAACCAAAAGCTTAAGATCAGAAGAATTGACAAGATACGGGCTGTTCATAAACATTTAAGTGCACGGGTAGGTCATCGTGTGGGTGAAAGGTCCCTCGTGGGGGGGACGGGGGACGGACAATCTCCACGACTCCTTGCAAGCAACCAGCTCATGCAGGAAGTTAGAAATCTTCACCCTCACCTGCTAGCTTTGTACATGCAGGGTGCTTTCCCCACTTAGTTATTTCATTTATTTAGGAAATGTATATGCCTCATCTCCAGGACAGAAGCATTCAGTTGGAGGAGTTGTTCAGTCTCAGCCACCCAGATAGGGTGCCAGGTCCGCCCTGGCCAGCAGTGGGGGGATGGGGGTGGTAGGATTGCCAGATCCATGTTGGGAAACTCCTGGAGATTTGGGGATGGAGACCGGGGAGGACAGGGACCTCAGTGGGGCGCAATGCCATAGAGTCCACCCTCCAAAGCAGCCGTTTTCTCCAGAGGAACCGAGCTCTGTAGTTTGGAGACGAGCTGTAATTCCAGCAGATCCCCAGGCCCCACCTGGAAGCTGGCATCCCTACACCCAGAGAATGAAATGGTTTAAACCTACATGAGTTGCACCCGTCTGCTGCTCCGGCTCAGATCTCAGGAACAGGAGCTTCTGTTGCAACAAACGACCCTGCGGGGCAGTCCCCTTTCCTTCCCCCCACTGTAGAACAGAACAGGGTGACATCTGACCTCCAAAGATATACAGTCCTCCGGTAGAGGGTAGGAAGGCGCCGGCGGCAGCCGTGCGGGCCCGGAAGCTGGGATCCCCGGCGCTCACGTTGTACCACTTGCCGGCTCCTTGGTTCTCGCTCAGCGCCAAGTCGCAGGCCTGCCCCACAAAACCTGGCTCACACTGGCAGCGCCCAGAGTCCTGCGAGGGGGTACAAAGAGAAACGGGCTGACGGAGACAGAGCAAAGAGGCTCCCTACCAAGTGCTAAGAGGCCAGGGTAATCTTCCAGCCAAGGACACACACGATCCGCCCTTACTTTCTGCAGCTTTTCCAATTTTGCATTCGGGAGGTGGAATGTAGATCGGGGGTCCCCAACGTGGTGCCCGTGGGCATCGTGGCGCCCACCAATGCCTCTCCTGGTGCCCGCCAAGTGTTTTTAGAAACTGGGCAGCATCAGGTAGGGCTTTTGCCCAGCAGGGCCTCTGATTGGCCATAGAAGATTTGATTGGCTGTGCAGATTTTTTAAAATGTTGCTTTGGAAGCAGCTGTCGGAACAGCGCAAGGATCTTCACGGTGAAGGTAAGCTGTGGCAGCCATTTTTGTGGCTGGCTCCGCCTCCTGCAGCAGCCATTTTGTGGCTGGGCCCAGAATTCCAAAGTGCGTCAGAATTCCAAAGCTGCCCAGAGCCTCAAGAAGGCTGGTGACCCCCCTGATGTAGATGCCTCGCTCCCAGAAGTCTCAATGGAACGTAACAGCGCCAGCCTCCATAGCCCTGGCTGGCCAAGTTTTCAACAAAAGGAGGAATAAGGGCCAGAAAACTGGGCTCCGATGCCAGACTCGATCCCAAGGAGGCCGAGAGAGACACGGGGTTCTCCTCCCCAGGATAAGCAGAAATTGCACTCGCTAACTCTGAGATAATTTTAGGACACTGAATAAAATCTCACATCGACTAGAAGTTATGCAAATTGATTTGAGAAATAGGTGTCATATATAACCACGTACGTAGTGAAGGCATGCTTCAAAAGCCAGGGGGTCTTTTCAAAATAGCAAAAAAAAAATTATGCAAAAATAAAGAGAAACTAGGTGGAGGTAATTATTTTTTTTTAATTAATTTTTTTATTTCCTGTTTCACCTAACAGACATTCCATCAAAATTCTTTACATGGATAGTAGAGTCCTTAAGCATTTAACAAGTCTTCTAACCATTTACACACCTTCAGCCATCTCTTCGCATGTACCTTCTCATTTTGGTTTCGTAGAGCCAAACTTAAATTGTCCATTTGTGCCAATTCTAATATCTTCAACGCTAATTCTTCTCTAGAGGGTATTATTTCAGTCTTCCGATTTTTAGCCAATAATAGTCGAGCAGCAGTTATTATATAAACTAGTAGATATGATTCTTGCACATTATAACCATCTGGGATTATATTTAATAGATAGTTTTCTGGTTTTAGTGCTAGATTCTTTTCTGGGATTTCCTGAATTATCTTCCTCACCATTTTCCAATATGGTAAAAGGTCCCTGTATTCTTTTTACATTTCCAGCATAAGTTGGAATACCCAGAGTATCTCAACCTTTAATGTAAATGTTAAATAAATAAAGGTTGAGATAATTATTCAGTTTGCAGAATTCCTAGCTTCTTTGGCGCAGAATTCCGGTTGCGCAGATGCAGATTTTTAAATTATTTAGTATAGAACACACAGGCCTCCAAGTATGGTATGGAGGCTATGGGATTAAGACAACAGGAAGCCTGGATTTAGGCAGCAGGGGGAGATGGAGCACGCCCCCTTGGCTGCAAAGACCCCTTACGGGACAAAAACAGTGAGGGCAACAAATCTTACCTGGCTGCAAGTTCCATGGTTCTGACAATAGGTGGCGCAGTCGGGCATTGAACAGTCTTCGCCTCCCCAATCTTGAAAGCAGGTGCAGCGCCCATCGTTGTCGCAGGTCCCGTGCCCCGAACAGCCCATTGGGCACAGTGAGACAGTGTAGGTGGCGTTGAAGCCCAGCAGGTTGTAGTTGGCATCGCTGAACAGATGTAGCAGCATCTGTCAAGCAGAAAGGGTCATGAGCATGCCAAGGGATGGCACCAACAAGAGATGTGAGCGGAGGCCCTAGGTCAGGGGTGTCAAACATGCGGCCCGGGGGCCAGATGAGGCCCCCGGAGGGCATCAGGCCCGCAGTGGAACTGGCCGTCTCCTGCTTCCAGTTCTGCTGCTGCTGCTGCATCGTAGCTTGCTTCACCAGACTCTCTTAATCACTCAGCCATTTCATGTTTTAACCTGGGTCCTGGACTCAGACCTCTGAGCATGAGATTTCTGTGGTGAGTGTCAATAAATCAAAAGTAGGTTTGCGGCTTCCAGAGCTAATGTTTTAAGCGTGTTTTTATTTTTAAATAAAAAAACCTTTGTGTTTGTGTCCTTTATAAAGTTTATCTCTCCGCTACCTGGCATTACATTTTATGACACACGGCCCAACAAGGTCTCATTAATGTCAGATCCGGCCCTCGTAACAAATGAGTTCGACACCCCTAACTTTCGTTAGAACTTCTTCCAACATCAAACTACATGATAACTTCCTGGAAATAATTGTAAGAATGTATTTTTATCAGGTAGTTTGATGTTGGAAGAAGTTCTAACGAAACGGAACATCAACTCCAGAGAATTTCATCGCATCAACTGTTAACGATACCAAAACAATTGTTATTGTAATTTTGTATTTTTGTACTTATTAATGACTCATATACTTTAATAATCAATGGAATCTGTTTGCACAATATTGCAGTATTTGGTGTTATTTCAGGAGAGAAGCTGAGCAAAAACTTTAAAAAAGAAGAATGAATAGACAGCGGCTAGGGGCTTTGTGTAATGTGGTTTTTACAGATATTCTCTTTGGTCATTCTCAAGGCTATTTTTGGGCAGGAACGCAGAGCAACGGAGTTCTGGCTGGCTCCTGAGGGAGAATCCCTTTCCCAAGGAACATAATTTGCACCAATGTTTGGCTGAATTTAAAGAAATAATAAATATCAGCAAAAAAAAAAATCCAGACATGTTCACAGCGGAAACTTGGTAGGAACTTCCCTTTTTAAAGAAATTATATTTTTTATTACAGGATTTCTTAAATCAGAAAAATAAAAATACAGGAAAAAAGAGGGTAAAAAAAGGAATTGATAGAACACAGCAATGAAACGTTCATATTTCAAGCCGCCCTGAGCCTGCTTTGCGGGGATGGCGGGGTATAAATTTGATTATAAATAAATAACTAAATATCTTTCAACGGCAGATACAATCACAAACTTAATACTTAGTCTAAGGTTATGGTTACTTACTCTAAAATTTTAACAAAATCATCAAATCCGCATATCATAAGCAATTTCCAAGGTTACTACTTACCAGAGATTAAAAAGGCAAACACAAATAGACGCAAAGAAAGACAGATTGCTAAACCGATCCCCAAAGGTATCAATGCATTTCCAGCAGATACATGCCTCCTTGGGAAATCTACTCAACACTTAAAATTACAGAAGCTACACTGTGATTTAATTCAGTCTCCAGGGTAAGAAAGAAATCTTGATAAAGGGATCAATATTAAAAAGCTAGTTATAATATACAAAAATACATGTATTTATTAGAAAGACAGTTAAAAACATATAAGGGCCCTACAAAAGCCTCGTTGAAAAGTTGAAGTGGCCTAAAACACCACGGCCAATATGCATGACCTGACGCGTTTCTGCCCTATTGGGGCCTTCTTCATAGGTCAAAGAATATCGAGGTACACGTAACAATAATACATATTACAATAAGATAACCAATAAGTGAATACTGGACCAAAAAAATGAAGGTTAAACAGCAAGATCTATAGACACAAGACAAAGATGTCTGTGAGGACTCTAAAGATGATAGTCATGTGTCTGGTGCCAAATGCACAGCTGCTGAATTAGAACCTTCCAGTTTAGGTCCAAAAACCACTTGTGTGGCTATCTAAGTCAGAGCTAGAGTGTTAAGCTAGAGTGTTAAGCAAATAGCAGTCAATATTCAGTTTCCTCCGGCTTACTCCACTGTAAGGAGTCCTGTTTGCTGTAGAAACCTGTCAACCTATTCAAGGGTGAGCACAGAGAGGAAACCCCTGTTCTCTCTCCATTTCTGGAGCGTTCACCTAGCTAGGCCCCAGCCCAGACCTCACACAGCTATACAGCTGTTAACTGGAGTTAAACTGGTAGAGGATGGATTTAAATCAGAGTATTCTCCTCATCAGACACGGAGGACCAGGCAGATCTAACCAGGATAACAAACTGATCTGAGGTCCAGAGGGTAGCCGTGTCGGTCTGCAGCGGAAGAGCTAGATTCGAATCCATCAGCACCACAGAAACCAACAAGATTTTGAGATCTCTGCTGAAGGGAACGTTGGCTCTCAAAAATGTATACCCTGAAAATCTGGTTGGTCTCTAAGTTGCCGCTAGACTCCAATCTAGCTATTCTGATTTAAATTTAGCATCTTCTGGTTTCCTCTGGAGGAAATGGAATGGTTCCGGAAGGGCGTTCCTGATCACATGACCCAACCTCCCACCGCTGGGCATTCCCACCCCCAAAGATCAGTACCTTGCCAGAGGTGGCCTCGATGGTGGGGGGCAGGGTGCTGCCACTGAGACTGGCCAGCAGGGGGCTGCTGGGAGAATCTCCGTCGTAAATGAAGAGGTAGTCGTAGGTACATTCCGTGTCCATGAACATGAAGGTCAAGAGGATGCGGTAGCTGCTACTGGGGGCTGAACAGGATAGAAAAGAGGGTTACCAAAGCAGTACTAGGAAGGAAACCTTCTAAAGGGGCTTGTACCCATCCTCCCCAATACGACCCAAATCCCGCAAGTCCCCTGTTTCCAATCAGGGGACATGCGGGAGTCTTACGGGAAAGTGAAAAGGTGAAGTCTCGGGCTGCCACTTTTTGCACACACAAAAAAAATGGAAAGAGATTGCATGCGTCTAACATCTGGGTGACAGGAAGAAATTCAAGAGACGGCACTTCCCATTTCTGTGAAAAGCCACCTGCGAAATTTCTTTCTGTCATGCAACTGTGACTTCTTTCAGGAAACCAAGACAGCAATGCTCAACACATGACTTTCCATCACTATGTCCCCAGAGCACCCAGACATGTAAACACCGCAAACAGGGACAGCATTTAGGGCTATCGATTCTGTAAAAGCCAGAAGAGACATGCCTTACTGGCTCAGGCCAGCTGCAGGTAGACTTCTGGAAGCACACCAATAGGACGCCGTGATGACGGGCCACTCCCTGTTTTGTTTGCTAGTATGCAGAGATATACTGCTTCTGTATAAGGAGGTTCTGTTCTTAGACTGCCAGTGCCCAGTTTTGGACCTATCCATTATGGATTTCATCTCATCCTCTTTAAAAGTTAGCAGCTGCCATCACATTTTGCAGTGATTAATATTTCCTTCTGCTAATTCACTTGGGTTTCCGTCACGCTCTCTGCCTGAAGTCTTAAGGAGGACAGCAATTAGAAAACAAAAATAAAAGAATCTAAATATCTGGTAAGGGAAGGCTTCTTTGTTTAAAGACCAGCCAGATTATTCCTAGCAAAACAATGTTGGCTTGAACAGAAATATCCTATAATATCTAAAGGGGAAACCAAGATCTCTTTTTTTTTTAACGTATTTATTTCAGTTTTAAAGTGCATTACATCATGCATGTAAGTTCTACATATAGATATAACAGCTTACAGAGTCCCACAACATCTTATTTAACCATTTACCTCTTCTTTAACCATTTGTAAAACGTTTCCCACCTGTTAAAGATAAAAACCTCAATTCTCTGTGTGTGTGTGTATGTATATATATGAAAGTTTTACCTCAGCCACCTCTACATCTTGCATCCTCATATTTATATATTCCCTGCCTGTTGATTAAAATCTTTCTTCTGTTTTGAACGTTAATTTGGCCTCACGTCCCATTTCGTGAGGGTATTTTAAAACAAGACAGCTCCTGTCTTCGTCTAGTTCCTGTGCTGGGTCATTAGCCCAGACTAGCATCTGTGACAGGGTGGGACAGTTAAAGCTTATAAAATAAAGAAGAAATACACACTACTGAAGGGTGGCTCAGTCACTAAGGGGAGCTAAAAATATTTTCGGCGGGAGAATCTGCCTGGGAGTGGGGAAGCATCAGGGCTCTGTCGTAACAACAAGCGGGGCTTAAGAAAAAGAGCAAAACCTTCTCTGGGTGGAAGCCTCGTCACGTGAAGGCCCCCATCCCCACAGGAATAAGACTGTCCCGGCCCCTTCCGAACGGCTCACCTTCCACCAGCCACTCGCAGTTCCCGTTGACAGAGTAGTTGCCCGGCCCATCGGTCACATATCCAGAGGCGTTGCGCAGCACTTGCCGTTCCCCCTTGCAGTCTCCCCCGCTGGATCGACGGACCGCATACAGGAGTAGCAGCAGCGTCACCAGCCACGTCGGGCAGCCGGCTGCTCGGGGGCCCATGGTGGTTCCTGGATTGCTAAACCGGGCTACCCTTCAGAAGATAGGCAGGCACGTGGCATCGTCCAGCCTGGAAGAATAAGCGAGAACCTGCGTTAGAGCTTAGAGTTTCACCCAGAAGAAAGAAGAGGGACATTAATATTATTCACTAAGGTGATCCCCTCTTCTGATAACCTGAGTCCCGGCTTAGCTCTGGGGCCTATTTTGGATGCCAGAAAGAAGCTTTGGAACTAGGGCGCGCTCTTTCTCTCTCTCGGTCTGGAGATAGATCAAGATCGGCAGCCCATGTTAGTCTGTCTGTAGCAGTAGGAAAGAGTTAAGAGTCCACGAGCACCTTCAAGACTAACAAAATATGTGGCAGGGGAGGAGCTTTCGTGAGTCACTGCTCACTTCGGCAGAAAGCGAGCAGTGACTCACGAAAGTTCACACCCTACCACAAATTTTGTTAGTCTTTAAGGTGCTACTGGACTCTCACTCCTCTCTCTTTTTAATATGCCTATTTTGCGCCCTTGCCCACAGTCAGGTAGCCCAAGCAACTCTCACTTTTTAATATGCCAATTTTGCGCCCTGGCCCACAGCCAGGTAGCCCAAGCAAGCCTTTGGAAGCTAAGCAGGATTGGCCCCAGTTAGTACCGATGGCAGACCACCAAGGAAGTCCAGGGTTGTTCTGCAGAGACAGGCAATGGCAAATCAACGCTGTTCATCTTTGTCATAGAATCATAGAGTTGGAAGGGACCACCAGGGTCATCTAGTCCACCCCCTGAACAATGCAGGAAATTCACAAATGCAGGAAATTCACACACACCCCATACACACACACACCCAGTGACCTCTGTTCCACGCCCAGAAGATGACCAATAAACCTCCAGGATCT